AATTTGTTCTAAAAATAGAAAAATTGTCCCATATCATAGGTGCGCGCGAATCCCGAGACTTACGGTCTCCGTCCCCGATTATGGCTCCTGTTTATATATATTTTTAGGGTAGGACGAAAATAGCGGAATAATACAAAAAAATAAGGGTGAGTTTTCAGTATCTTCCATCTCCGCTCGTTTGATTTTTCTATGTCAATGTATTTCCCTCTAAGAATGTTCTGATTTACTAAGAGTCTGAGTTTTTGTATGTTTTACCTTTTCTTGTTACATTTAAAATGGAATCGATCTCTCGTTTTATTTCTTTATTTTCTTTTTTAGCACATAGCAAAAGTTCCAAACTATTTCAATCAAGATTCTTAACATTCATTAGAATTTTGTTTAATCTATTTCGTAGTTTATTCTTTCTTTTTCCACTGTTTTTCAACATTTTGCCTTAACGTTTTTGTTGGTTTGTTGTATTGAAGCCGGTCAAATAAAGAGATAGATTTTATCGTAGGTGGTCTTGATTCAATGATCCCCATATCAGTTAAGTAGGTTTATACAGATTTACAGTAACTCCGAAGCCCCGGGTGGGGGCACCTCCGCACATTTTGGATAGGTGTGTGCCGCAAAGGGTTTTAAACCCTGACCCTGTTTTAAGGATGAAGCAAAAGAAAATCGGTAACCTATTTAAGACCCACAGCCGAAATATGAAACCCTATTCATCGGAAAAACAAAAACTAAGAAAAGCATGAATGGTTCAACTTTATTTCGTTTCTGTAACATTGGAAGGTTACGAATAGTTCAGTTTTAGTAGATCATATGTTTTCCATTTAGCTGGTCATTTCTTCACTGCAATTTTAGCTGATACAATTTAGGTACCCTGTCTAAGAATCACACCGGGAACACAATGCAAACAGGGACAAATATGATAACCTATTTAAGGATAGAGAACCTCAAAAACCCTACCCTATCCCGAGGCACATACCTATATAGCCCATATAAGGGAGTACCCCCAGGCACGGAGAGCGTTAGCAGGCAGAAATCCGTCTGCATTTGCACGATTTCTTGATTGGAGGAAACTGAAACAAAAGTTATCATAACAGGCCAATCACAATACATGTAAATCAACCATTGACCCAACTGACCAACTAGAACCCGAATCGAAATCATGCAACGGTTGCCAATCGCGAGAAAAGCATTTAAGCAAGTCACAAAGTTCTTTTCCGGTTTGTGTTGCCTGTTTGGTTGTTTTGTTCCTGATCGTAAACTAACCCTAAACACGCAGAAAGGAATTGGCAATGAAAGCAAAACCACTAGTGACGTCAGTTTAAAGCACAAAAATGTCAAGGTACTTACCTTTCTCGTGGTTTAAAGTGCGTCATTACGTCCCAAAGAACGTTTCGCGGTCCCTAAGAGAAATGAAGTTTGGTTGCCCTCGCACTGTTATAAACCCTCAACCCCTCTGGTATCGACATCCGTCTGCCAATATCCTGGTCCCAGAGGTTTTTCTTGATTTTTCTTCGCATGAGAGGGCCGCGAGAGAGCCGCGAAGCGGCGACTGAACTCGAGTAGAAAAACCTCTGGTACCAGGGTAGTCTGCTAACAGAAATACCTCCGAATATAAGCTAACTCACAGCCCAACCAGGGGCGGAACCGGTGTATTCTTATGCCGTGTTTACATTTGAGCTTTTACCAAGGTAAACAGTTACTAAGGTCAAGTTACTTAACCTTGGTACATTCGTCCAGTGTTTATACCGGCTCAAATAACTCAAGTTGATCTTTCAACATTCGCGCGCGCTGCATTATCAACGTCATGAAATCGAACTTGGACGAGGATCCCACCGCAGTGGAACAGGAGCAAATTGAGGTGCCATCATTTTCATAGGCGAGGACCTCATTCCATAATATTATGGCGAAAATTCAGCCGCTTGATCATACTCAGAGTATGCATGGATACGTTGTATATGCAGCATCCTCCCTGGTGGCAAAATATATCGACAATAATTACACAACATAGGATCGAAGTTTGTCTAGAGAYGGTTGTTAATAATACTGAGAATGAAAAATAGTGCTCTCTTTTACGTGACGGATTGTTCGCTGTAAGAAGATCGATCCAATCTTTCCACGTTATCTGCCATGATCGCCTGTTGAAAACTGGAATAGAAACGCTTTGTCGACAATAGCGCAATCTGCTCACCGCGGGAAGTGAAATATTACGCCGCCACAAGCGGATATATCTGTCATCTTGACCTTGGTTACCAACTGTAATCATGCCTGATCACAGGGTAATTACAACTTTTACCTCGGTTAAATTTCTTTTGTCTTCTGCGGCATTTACCAAAGTATCAGTTGGCGTCTACACACGGAAAATGTTTACCTAGGTAAGTAAACTCTGCTACCTCGGTAAACCGTTCAAGTCTAAACACGGCATTAGCCTGCGAACGCAGACGTATTTCCGGCTGTCGGAGACAAGCGACAGCCGGAAATACGTCTGCGTTCGCAGGCTAGTGTATTCTCGGTGTTACAATATCAACTTTAAAACGTCCTCACAGAACATTGTAGTTAATCGCTAGTAGGCCCTTTCGTCAAAACATTCTCGACACATACTACCTGCTAGACCTATCCACTAGCCGATCTGCGAAAGCAGAGTTCGGAAGTCGAAAAATGATTGCGACGCTCAAAACTTCGAAGAGTGTGAGACAGAGGGCGTTAAGAAAGGCTGACTTCCTGGCTGATATCTAGAAAGGAAACAGCCTGCAAGCAGTTCACTTCCCAGCAATATATGATCATATATGCCTAGGAATCTACAGCCAAATGTCTCTGAAACAAGTATTACATTCTAACGTCACCTGATAAAGAGAAGCGATCCGCCAAACTATGGCTAATCTAATCACATGCTGTCATGCGCTGCGTCTCGTTCAGAGTGGCCTGGTACAAGAAATGAAAACGGGGGGTGACGTTGTTGATTAAAATAGAAGTTTCGAGCCATTCTAACCTTAACAGTCTGTGTAACTGGCAGCTTCTTCGTGCGTTCGCCGCTTATGAATTTTGTCATCGATCAAGCGTGATCTGGCATCATGTTCTTTTCACAATCTAGTTTGTACAGTCGATCCTCTCTCAGTACGGACACTGAAGGGACAGAACGAAATGTCCGTTTTAGAGAGGTGTCCGTATGGAGAGGTTTGACTGTATATTGCTTTACTGCAGGTGGAACACGGTCTGGATCATGCCAGGTTTCATGTTTATAATAACAAAGACGGAACGATGATTTTTAATAATGCAATTTAGACGTAAAATTCATTTAAAAACATCATTGCATATTGAATAACTCTTTAATTTGACATCAGCAGCTGATCAATCTCTATTGACAAATGGAAATATTAAAACAATTTACATTAAAATTTCGGTAAACTTCTTATGTTTTTCTCAAAAGTAAATTGAGAGGAATTTGTTCTTGGGAAGCCTTAGCTCTTCTAAGACCACCGCAAATAGAAAGGTTTCTTGTAGGTTTGCAATGTGATCGCACGTCACGAATAGACTAAGAATCGGTCATCTTTGTACCTAAGTGTGCTAGAATGTAGTTTCAGCTGTGAATTTGATCGTTGGGTGAAAGCCGTTTGCCGTTTGAGGAAATTCTCCTATTTTATCTCTGCTTGTATCCCACATAGATATGATGTCTCCAAAAGATTGTAGTGATGTATGTCTATCTGAGTATTTTCTTTTATCTATTTTGGTCATGAATATGTTTACAAAGGCTACAACCATTTTCATACCGATGGCTGTTTCATGGGTTTGGACTAATCTTTTCCATTGAATTCAAGCGAGTTTTCTTGTAAGACCAGACTTGGCATTTATAATACCTGATAGGAGAGTTTCTGTGGTAAAATTCTAGGTAAATATGCTTCGCATAAATTGGTAATACCCTCTCTTTTTTAGGTATGTTCGTGTATAGACTAGTGACGTCCATATTACAACAACAACAACAACAACAACAACAACAACAACAACAGCAGCAGCAACAACAGCTAGCTTTATTTGCATAACCATAAATACATACAGTGTTGCAAAAGCTTTTGTAGACTAAAACTTAAACTAAAAAGGTAACGATTACCGTGATCATACAATAATATTATGATATAGCAATCAAGTTGCATTGGTTTGATTTGAAAGTAGAATATTGAGACAAGAATGGCGCTTGTAGAGTCTTGTATGCAATTTAATCTTCTCGATGAAGTCTTTTGTATCTTTAAGACACGAAGCCTGTTGAAAAGAAGCCGATCTGATCAATAGGGCCGTCAAACCGTAATATACAATATAAAATCTTTGTAAGTGTGCACAACACTGGAATTTGCGTCTTACGTCCCGTTTCCCGCTCGAAAAAAAACACCAATTTCTGCATCCCGCCATGAAAATAACCAGCTTCCCGCCTGCCGCCGACCCCATGCAATCCCACATCCCGCCTTCAAATTTCCTTCCATCCCGCATTCGGGCAACGAAAAAAGGATCATCCCCGGCTTCCCGCCAACCCTACGTTAGACCCTCGAAGATTCAAAGGTACTCAGTTCACAAACTTTCACTGTGTTGCCACGACATCTGAACAATGCTGAATAAAACATACAAGTTTTGGACGATTCTTAACTCTAACTGGCAGTTTTCTGGCGCGTTCGTAGTTCAGCGGTATTTTGCCATCACCGTGAGTCAGCTCAGTGCACCGTGTTCTTTTGTCGCGACGTGCTCACTCCAGTCGTGACACGATGTGGATCATGTGAGGCTTTTGTGTTTATACTAACCAAGACAGAACAATTGTAGAGACGTATAAGTCATTGGACAACAACATTGCATATCGAGTGTTAGTAGAAACATCTGGGACTGAAGAGTAAATATTGACAATCGACCTAAAATTAAATTCTAGGTGACCATTTTGCCCGGGGGGGGGGGCATCCCGTAGAAAAGGTCGAGGATGCTCGTTATCTCGCTGCAGGGAGTGCAAATCAAGGATTTTGCTCTCACGTAGGGTTATCAGGACGAAACGACACTATTTTTAGCCGTCAAAGTATCTTTTAGGATGCACTCAAAAAAAAAAAGAAAAAAACCCGCTGTGATTTCAAGTGGTATCTTTTAGGGTTGAAATAAAGTTCGAGCCCCTCTAAGATTGGTCTCCTTTAGGGGTTTAATTCCAATTTTCAGACGAACATCCCCAACTTTTTCATATGGGAGTACCTCCCGGGCATTTATGGTCATTCCATAAAAGATCCTGAGATCATTTGTAGCTTGAGTTATTTCTGGGTCACCGGCGCGCACAGCACTGAGGTCCTGAGCTGAGTCATTGTGGCGTTTCGATCTCGTGATTTTTTCGTAACCTGACACCCCAGCGGGCAAATCACGCCTGAGTCTTGTGACTTCTGTTGATAAATTGCCAACATTCCGAGTGAGCGGCACTGTCAGTTCATCGCGGTTCGGTGCGCGGGTGGAAAAGAAGTTACTCACCGTCAAAATGAAAGGTGTTATCGCATTTGTGCTTGGCTTATCCGTTGCAAGCTGCGCTGTCTTGAAGTTTGATGAATACAAGCAACAGTGGCAGGCTTGGAAAACTTTCCACGGCAAGCAGTACGAAACAGACACCGAAGAAGAGGCTCGTTATGCAATTTGGAGAGATAACTTGAGGGTATGTAAACGTTAAATGATGCATAAATTTTCTACATGGAAGAGTTAACTCTAGATTTTAAACAGTAATGTAGGACAAAGTTGTTTATTTCCCTGATCAGAACATTTGCATTTCGCCTCAAACTCGGACAGTTTAATAGTTCGTTAGTAGATTTGTGATGTTCCATCGCAACACAAAGGAACCCTTAACACGGATTAAAAACGTCATACAATTTTTCTGCAGTGAATAAAAGATGTTTCGTGTCTTGAGCGGCGACCGGTTAAAGATCTGGATGAGTTATGTGAAAGTCAATAGTCTCGTTAAAATTGGCGTTTAACATTCGAAACTTTGGAAATTTGTCTAAAATATCCAAAATCTTGAAACAATAAAGAGGCTATGAGAGTTTACGTGCAGAGAGAAAACCTCCAATAGCGTATCAGCAAATCTTAACATTTTTAAAATTCAGCTCCTTTAAATGTCATCATGGGTTGCATGAGTAGTTGAGCCAAAAGATGGAAAGAAATATTGTTTTTCTGAAAACAAAAGATCACAAAATAAGACTGTGGGCACAAAAGACGAATCTAGCTATCAAATGTTTTCCGGTGCCAGGCACAGATAGCTTCCATAGAAATCGTCGCTAAAACTATCATTTTTTGAAGTAATTTCCTTAAAATACTCACGATCAACTTCGAATACATATAGATGTACTGCACTTGTACCTTTGTTGTTCGGGTAATAAAGTGTAGACCATGCGAGCAATTTTGAGACCGATCACGAAATGCGACGTACGAGCGTGAGCGATATGCGCGGAGCGCGCGCGGTATGTGCGGATCGCGCGGGGGAACCTTGTTTACTGGTTCACTCTAATTAATTTCTGCGCATTGGCAAGCAGGTTTGTTTTGTATTGACATCTTGACATAATTGAATTTGTATGAACTGTTTCATGTTACATGACGTTTGAAGATAATTTTTTCTCTTTTACCTGCCGCATTCATAGCCATTTTCTATTACACAATTTAGAAAATGAAATCAAGTACAGAGGTGTGCGATTGTGGAAGTTGACGGTTCGCTAACTGAATAATTGGTATAATTATTCAATCGGAAATGCTATTTATTTACCACAATCACAAGTTTTGTCTTTTTCGTAATGGTCTTAACTGTTTTACTTCTAGAAAATTCAACAACACAACTCCGAAGGACACTCGTACACCCTGGCTATGAACCAGTTCGGTGATCTGACAGTCGATGAATATCGCTTCTTCTTCCTGGGACTTCGTGCTCACTTCTCCAACGAAACAGAACGAGAAGGGTCTCACTTCCTTCCTCCCAGTGGAGTAACTCTACCTGATACTGTTGACTGGAGAACCAAGGGATACGTAACTCCTGTAAAGAATCAGGGTACGTTTTTGTCCTCCTCCTCCTCCTTAATAATAATCACCACCTCAATATTCATCATCATCATCATCATTATCATCATCATCATCATCATTATCGTCGTCGTCATCATCATCAGCAGCAACATCATCATCGTCTGCTTTTTCTTGTTCCTCTTGTTCTTCTTCTGTCTTCTACTACGCTTCTTCTAATTCCTTCTTTCTTCTTCTTTTTGTTTTCTCCCTTTTCTTCTTCTTCCTTTTCCCTTCTTTCTTCTTCTACTTCTTTCGTCTTGTTCTTGTTCTTGTTCTTAATCTTGCTCTTGCTCTTGCTCTTGCTCTTGCTCTTGCTCTTGCTCTTGCTCTTGCTCTTGCTCTTGCTCTTGCTCCTGCTCTCGCTCTTGCTCTTTCTTCGACTTCTTCTTCCTTTTCGTCCAACTCTTCTTTGTCTCTTTTTTTTCGTTTTGTACATTTTAGCCTTAACACTGATTGTACTCCTTGTCAATTTTTTCAGGCCAGTGTGGTTCTTGCTGGGCGTTCAGTGCTACCGGATCACTGGAAGGACAGCACTTCAAGAAAACAGGAAAACTCGTTTCACTTAGTGAACAGAATCTGGTCGACTGCTCCAGGAAATATGGAAATTTTGGCTGTGAGGGTGGACTCATGGATTATGCATTTAAGTAAGAGAAGAAACAGTATTTTACTCCGAAGTCGCTAGTGAAATGAAACAGAAACGGGCTCCGCTCGTAATGTCGTGGAAATAACAATACCTAACAAGTCCCTAAACCTCGCATAAATATAACTTTATTTTGTCGGTGATCTGCAACTCTGATGTTCTCTTTCCAATTTTAAGAAAATTGGTCTGTCCACAAGTGTGAAACTTCAGAAATTCATAAAAATGAATTTTAAAGTGTATCTGGGATTTTCAATTTTATATTGGAAAGAAGGTTGGTTATACGGAGACTGTGATCTAAAGCTCAAAGATTAACATTAATTATGATTAATTATGACAAACATTAAAATTCAATGTCGTGCGATATCATTAATTACCGTAAATCCTCGAATTAATTAGCGCCCGGGGGCGCTTATTGGAGAGGGGCGCTTATTTAATTTTTCCCAAATCGTGGCCTGACATGATCATTTTTTGATACATCATCTGCGCGTAAACACCAACATAAGCTGTTTACTGACATAAAAAGCTGATCCTAAAGTTTAAGTCGCGGCATCGTTAGTACTTAACGTGTTAAACGTGTTCACTAAACGTGTTCACAAACCGAAACAATGTACAAATCTAATACTACACGACGAAAACTCTATATCCTTTGTTGTCTCATTACTCGTCCACAAAATAGGGGGGAGGGAAGGGGGCGCATATTGGAGGAGCGGCGCTTATTTTAAATTTCGGCCGATAGGAGGGGCGTTTATTCGAAGGGGGTGCTTATTCCAGGGGGGCGCTAATTCGAGGATTTACGGTATATGAAGGTGAATACGTCGTTTATTTAACAGGTACATCAAAGCCAATAAAGGTCTTGACACCGAGGTCAGCTACCCATACAAAGCTAGAGACGGGAGTTGCCATTTCAAAAGCGCTGATGTTGGTGCTACTGACACTGGTGAGTCTACGATCTTTGCCGAGCACTTCCGATAATTACCGAAGTTTTGTTTGAAAACGTTTAGCATGCCGAAGTTTAAACTCGATTTTCGTGGGGGCTATTGATTACTAGCCTGAGGAGATGTTGACAGGCTACGGATTAGTGGGAAGGGAGCATCAAGATTAAGATATAATTTATTGGCGTTTGTTTTGTGTTTAGGTTTCATGGATATCCAAAGTGGAAGCGAATCTGCCCTTAAGTCTGCTGTAGCCACTGTCGGCCCAATATCTGTTGCCATTGATGCTTCCCACGAGTCATTCCAATTTTATCACAAAGGAGTCTACAATGAACCGTAAGTACATGTTTTGTCGTACGGTGATCAATAAATCGTCATATCAATATTATAGTCATCGTCATCGTCATCGTCGTCTTCATTACCATCGTCATCGCCATCCTGTACAATATCACGTGACATGCGTGACAAATGGCTGTCACGCAAATCGCAATCACGAAACAATGATCGCCTCTTGCAGTCAAGAAACGTCTCTTGTCACAGTCACGTCAAAACCTTATCGTTTCATTTCTCATTTCAGTGCCTGCAGTAGCACTCAACTGGATCATGGTGTCCTTGCTGTTGGGTATGGAACCTACCAAGGCAAAGACTACTGGCTGGTCAAGAACTCCTGGGGGACTAGCTGGGGAATGCAGGGTTACGTTATGATGACCAGAAACAAAAACAACCAGTGCGGAATTGCCACAGATGCTAGCTATCCACTAGTCTAAGACACCTTATTGTGCAATAGGGCTAAATTCCTTTGCTCACCAGATTGATACAATGTGTTTTATTCATTAAGTAGACTGTATAGTAAAAGAGTCATTTATATTTGTAGGATAGGATGAAAATAACGGACATAGAGAAGGGAAGGAGCGAGTTCTCTCCACTCGTTTCAATTTTCTTTCTGAAAGTATTTTTATTAGGAAGCGCTCTGATTTACTACTCGGAATCTTTGAGGTTTTGTTTTACTTTTGCATTGTTATTTTCAAGATGGGATCAATCCCTCTTTTTACTTTCTTTATTTCTTTTGATAGGACATTCAATTAGGATTCTTTAGATTCTTACGACTCCTGTTTAATCTTACACAGTCTGTATTTTCGTAGCTTATTTTTCCTCATCTTCTTCTGTCGCTTTTGATGTTTTTGCTGGTTTATTGTATTTAAGCTGGTGAAATAAAGGGATAGATTTTATTGTAGATGGTCTTAATTCAATGATCCCCATATACAGATTGAACGCAAAGCGCGTTGATAGGCAGAAATCCGTCTGCATTTACAAACGTTAAGATTGGAGATATAATGGAAAGAAAAGTTCGAGGCTGTAAAAAGGATGCAAACACACTACGGGTTTTTTTCCCCAGTGATAGTCAGATTTTGCCAAAACCAAAGTTATCATATCAAACCAAACTCAAAACCCACTGACCTAACTGACCAATCAAAACCCGTAGCAGTAACATGCAACGGTCACAAAGCGCGGGAAAACCAAGTCACGAAGTATCTTTGCTTGCATGTTTGTTTGTTTCTCTCGCTCCTGATCGTAAACTTAAACCCACGCACGCAAAAGGCAAAAGTAACTGAGAATAAAGACAAAACCATAGGCCATAACTTGTGAGGGATGTCAATTCAAATTGCGACATAAGTATCTTCAACTGCGGATAAACGTTTCGCGGTCAATTTTCAACGAGAAATAAAAGCTGTACAATACATTAAACCTCGTACCCCTAAACTGATCGTAAGTTCAAACCCCCTCCCTCCCCACTCCATCGTAATAGGCCCGCCTTAACGCTAATGTAAAACTCCCTGATATAATCCCCCCTCCGTACGGCCCCATCAGGCAAAAGATCGCAGAACATTGTACTTCAAATAGAATATAAGCAGTAAATGAGTTTTGCAAGTATATTGTAGAGCAAAATGTTTTATCCTTGAGGCTTTCTAACGGTAGCGTACCCCTCATCCATCTTGGATTACATTGTAATGCAAGCGAGAGACCTGAGAAGTTAATCATGAAAAGGGCTGCTGATGTTACGCCACCATATAGTCATCCAGATATTCTAGAAGAATATATTTCATCCCATAATCCCTTGTATACTCTTTCAACCCGTGTAAACCCCATTTAAACCCATGTATATACTCCTGTTTACCCATGTCGTCCCAATCCCATCTCGTCTAAGACGACTGCGGTCGTCCATGCTCCCTGACAGATCAGCCTACCTCACTCACCAGAGTCTTTTCACCTCTCCGTGAACCTGTTCCACGCTATCATCGACTGTCAAATAGCGAAAAAATACGAGATCAGAAGGTCGGTGAAAAGAGAAGAAGGTGACCAAACATCATGCAGCCAACTAGCAATAAATTTACATTTGGATGTTCCATGAAAACCTGCTCAAGATTGCAGCTAAATCCAAAAAGGACGTCAAGAGTCCTGTGGGACCTAACACATTCGTAGGCCATCTGTAACAGTCAGTCTGATGTTTTCTCAGTTTCTCCCGCCTCCGACTCTCTTAGCTCGCCGACTCGTCTCTAGCGGCTTCGCCTCATTGCCCGTTACGCAGCGCGTGCTAGGGTTCACGCGCGTGTACGCGAAAGCAGGTGCGTGACCACGTTCGACGACGTCTAACGTACTGGGTAGTAACTAAACAGGAGTCATGTGATGTTTCCGAAAGTATTCTTCCTAATTGCTCTTCACAACTTGATATCACATTGCAAAGTGCCAATTACGATAAAAAATCTCGGATCCCTACCACTGAATCGTGGCAAAATGAGGTGCTTTTACTTCTTTCTGCTGTCTGTTTCATTAGCAAGCAGCCTTAATCTAACGCATGAGGAATACAAACGGTACTGGCAGGAGTGGAAGTCTTTCTACGGCAAATCATACAAGTCAGACATTTTGGACCAAGCGCATTTTATAGTGTGGAAGAATAATTTAGAGGTGAGCAGATTTTATTTTCAAAGATCAATGGTAGTCTAAGGTTCGATTTACGGCTGTGTTGTGAGTCGGATTCCACCTCCTCAACGCAAGGGACACGCAAGGAACAGAAGAGGGGACAAAGCATCGTAGCCCGGTGGACGGTAACCTTTTAAGCCTCCTACGCAGATGGTCTTTTTGTTCGTCACGCAATCTTAGCTAATCTTCCGCCCCCACGGGAGGAACTCATACCGGCCCGGCTTGAAAAGCGTTGAACTTCTTCGGATGAATTTGTGAGACATGTTCAATAACGTCCTCTTGAAACCATTTTTTTGTGTACTAGTTGTCCCAAAATTAAACAACCTGTACTTGACCGGAAGGGCCCCTTAACCATTTCCTAAGGCTTACCTTTGTATTAATTGCCTTGTTGTTTCCTTCCAGCGGATTCAAAAGCACAACTCCGAAGGACACTCGTACACCCTGGCGATGAACCAGTTCGGTGATCTGACAGTCGATGAATACCGCTCTTTTTTCCCTGGCTCTGAGTCTCGTCTCTACAAAGAAACAAAACGTCATGGGTCGTCCTTCTCTCTTTCCAGTGGAGTAACTCAGCTACCTGATACTGTTGACTGGAGAACAAAGGGATACGTTACTCCAGTGAAGAACCAAGGTAAGCTTCCGCTTCTCGTTTAGTAAATTTTGTACACCAAAAAAGTAACTCTAGTTCCCTTTGCGGTAACATGGTATACTAGCAGATCCAACACTGACAACAACCCAACAATCCAACCTGGTTGAACGAGGTGTAACATAAAATGTAACGTCACATTCTTTTGCCATCGGCCATCCAGCATTGTGGCTTTTGCAAGATGTGGCTGATTTACGCTAAAGGTACATTAGACGGATCAGTTTTTGTTTCTGTGCAACCGACTTCGGTTCTGTAAAACTGACCTCGGAAAAAATCACTCCTCTGGTAGTGATCCCATTAGACCAACTACGGTTAACGGTTGTCGCTGACCATCGTCTTTGACCGCATCAGTGAGCGAATTGTTGGAAAGCCGACTTTTTACTAGTAACACTTTAGTTGGTGCAATATCACAGAACTTTGTTTTTCTCTGATAACCTGCGTCACCCACTCAGCTTCCGTGTACGCGTGTCTCCCAAAAGCGGACGCTTTTTAATAGCACAGCCTCCGGGGCTCCGCTTCAGTACGAAATGAGTTAGAATGTGCTAACATTAGCAGTTGCTAATATAAGAAAGATGAGCAAACTGAAGATGAGTGGTTGGGTTTTTGAGAAGGTCAGCTGCCTTGTGCGACCTTCCTCCGCCCCCTCCCCCGCATGAGACCTAGCTAACCCATTGCACAGTTCTTCTTCAGCTAATCATCCATACCCAAAGGAGTTGTCCGCGTTGAACCGCGGCCTAGGATCAGGTGTGAAGCGAGATGAGGAGCGAGAAACCTACCCTTATCCAGACCAAACTATACTCATCCCAATCCTATATCCAGACCTACAATTAGGGACAAAAGTAGTCCAAACACTTTCCGAATACAAACTTTCTCCCTTCCAGCGTAATTCGTACTACCTACACGTACACTCCTCATGTTTCGCCTCCTCCCTTTTTCAAATGTTGTAACCACGTGACAGCGTCGCCAAAGCCCGTTTCAACATCGATTGGGGGTGGGGTGGGGGTGGCTATTGACGAAAAAGGTGTTTCTTTCATCAAGGGAAGTGCGGATCTCGGTTCGAAAACGTCCGATTTGCAGAAATGCCCAACATTGTTGTCTCTGATTGTAGCGTGACAATACCCAACTAGATAAAGTGTTTGAGGAATTACTAAGTAGCTTAAGTTCTTATCCTTTTTATCGATATGTTCTATCTAATCTATACGTTCATCTTTGCATTCTTTTCCCACCTCGTTCAGCTTTTCACGCTGTGTTATATACTTTCTAAAAATTATTTTCTTTAATTTTATCAATCTTGTCTCCCGAGATTTGTTCAGGAAAATAACTTATTACTGAAAATGCTGATACGAGAGGTTCTAAGTATGTAACTTAATGATATTTATAATTTGCTGGATGTCATTTTCTTCTAGGTACGTCAAAGAAAACTGTGGTATTGACACCGAGGTCGGCTACCCGTACCCATGTCACAAGACCTGCTGTTACGACAAAGCTTATGTAGGTGCCACATGTACTGGTGAGTAATGGACAGAAATCGCGTTTACCGAAAACTTCCGATGATAACCGAGTTGCCGAAGAATTTGCCTTATCGTCGGCATCTGATTTGGCGCTAAGGGAGTATTTGACTCTTGCAGTGATATTTGAAATGTTTAAGTTAGTTGTGTTTGATCTTTTTCTTGTCTTTTTTTAGGCTACGTTGACATTAAAACAGGAAGTGAGGCTGCCCTTCAATCAGCTGTAGCCGAAGTTGGCCCGATCTCTGTTATAATCGACGCTAGTCATGAATCTTTCCAGTTTTATAGAAGCGGAGTGTACAACGAGCCGTAAGTGTTTCATAAATTTCCAAGATGTCTCATATCTGTCGCTTTCCCTTTCTTGATTTGACGCTCTAGTGTATCTGAACTTTCTTACTGTTATTTTCCTATCGTCATGAAATCACCAGCTTTTATCACCATCTTGTGGGAGGCATTGTGGGAGGTTAGTAGCGCGGATCAAACAACTGAAACAAATACAGTGGCGGATCTGGGGGAGGGGCCTCGGGGAACCCGCCCCCCCCCCCCC